GGAAATTTTTGAAAAAAAAAAACTTAAGCAAAGAGATATTTAAAAAGAATTATTTTATTTAAAAAAGTGATAAAAAAAAGAATTTCAAAGAAAAATATTGTAAAACAATGAATTATAATGTTAAAGAGAAAACCAAAAATAGACAAGAAGAAAAAGAAAATAAAAAAAATAAAAAGGAAAAAAGGAGAAGTTAAAAATAAACTGCATAGAAAAAAAATCATTTCAATCAGAATTAAAACGAAAAAAATTATAATATTTTTAAGAATAAAAAAATATTGTTTATTAATTTGAGTTCGAGTTTATAAACTCGAGTTGAAAAGAAAATTTGAACTCAAATTTTAATCCTAAACTCAAATTTAAACTTAAAATAATATAAACTTAAATAAAATTATAACTTAAATTATTTTTTTTGAGTTTTTGACTCAAAAAAAAGCTGCCAAGCAGCCCTCGATATTTTGAAATTTTCAGTATTTTCTTACTACAAATATTGGCCTCGTTCGTTTCGATGATTCGAGTTTAGAATTTGAGTTAAGATGTGATTGTATGTGAGAGCTTTTTACTGTAGCAAAAAAGTTGAGTTGAAAAAAAAATTTAAACTCGAGTTTTAATCCTAAACTCGACTTTAAATTTAAAATAATATAAACTTAAATAAAATTATAACTTAAATTATTTTTTTTAAGTTTTTAACTCAAGAAAAAGGCCGCCAAACAGCCCCTCGATATTTTGAAATTTTCAGTATTTTCTTACAACAAATATTGATAGTGATCTATTGAGCACACGTGGCTGTGAGGTTGTGGTGCACGTGTTGGGAGCAGGTAAACATGAACGTTGTTAGACGCACCTATAATTTCTACGGTCGAATGGCATTATTGCAATATATTTTCATTTTGTTATTATTTTGCTTTAATGGACCCCATTGGCCGTCACGTGACAAAAGTTTACACGCGAGCATTGTGTTAGGATGAGGAAGCCGTGGCCTTAATTACGTGGCGCCGCTTACTTTGGCAAGCATGTTTGCTTCAAAACGCTTTCAGTTTCACCGGCCTCACGAGATTTTAATAAACTTTCTTATTTTCTTGTCCATTTCGCCACCGACCAAAATATTCGTATATAAAATATATGCTTGTCTGCGGCTTTTTTTAACGAGGACTGTTACTTTTCTCTATCAATTAACACTTTTCTAGTCACCAAAAAAAAAAAAAGTAATATGAAGAAATGGAACTTGTTATAATATTTATTTTTTTGAAAGATTATAATATTAATAACATTTCAAAATATATATATAACAATAATTCTAGATATTTAAAATTTTTGGTGTTAAGACTTTTACAACAATAGTATTAAATAATAGTCCGTTTAATTTGCAGATTCGAGTTGAGATGTGATTATATGTAAACTTTTTACTGTAGTAAAAAAGTTAAATGTGACTATTTCTAATAGTTTTTTTTTACTGTAATAAAACTTGAATTCTAAACTCAAATTGGTGAAAGGAATGAGATTTAAATTTATTGTTATATCTTTTTCTTTCATATATTATAAAACAATGTTATAGGGTACTAATAATATTTAGCATTACCCACTAATAAAAGGTGCCGAATCCACAAATGAGACTCATTTTTTTATTAATGATGGTGCTTAATACTGATAGTGTCTCAAAACATGTACGGTTTTTTACTATACCAAAATAAGTATATATATATACACACACATGAGAATATTTTGGTGATGTATGAAAAAATATTTTATTAGCAAATTAATTTCTATCCATTACACTAAAAGAATATAAAAAAAAATAATAATAATAAAGTTTAATCAAAATCTAGGAGTTTAGCATATTTCTCCGTACGTACTTGTATATAATAAGGATTTTATAGTATCAAATTTATATCAATTATGTCAGCTTGATTTTAACAGTTAAATAAATTAACTCCACCAAGATATAAAACAAGGAACCCTACCTGAACATTTTCGTATATTTTATGTAACAGGCGTATCTATTATAAATCTAGCTTCAAATATTTATGGCCTCTTGACCCCAGCCCCGCTTGATATTTTGTGGCAAGGCCGGGCCAAAGTATCAATTGATGATTATTATATAAATAAAAAGGACGCTCATTTTTTAAATATATTAGAATCCGTTTGGTTTATGGATTAGAATCACGAGATTATAATAATTTTTGATTTACGTGTGTTTTTTATGAGAGAAAATACTATAGAGAACTATGAACCATGATTCGAATTAAAAAACGAATCATCCAACCAAACGGGCTCTTATTATTTTTTTGGTGGGTACATATATTATTTTTTGCTTCGTGGGGGTTTTTTTTTTTTCCCTAAATATCTCTTTGCATGTATATGGGAATGATGAAGCCGCTTTTATTAAATGTAGAATAATAAAGAAGGGAAAAGCTCTAAAATTAGTTGTATTATGTGATCGTTAACTTTATTTATTTATTTATTTTTTAATCCCCCCTATCCTGTTTGAAGGACTAGCCACCATCAGTTTCTAGCAATAGTATGGTGGCATTGATAATGATCTATCAAAAGGCATTAACGGAAAAGTAAAGTTTATTAGATTCTGTTTAAAGAGTATTATTTTTGCTATAAGGGGTTTTTTTATTTTTTTTATTTTTTATTTTTTAAATGTGTCCGTGTGTGGTGTTATGGCGACAATGATGGTAAAGAATAAAAGAGAGAAAAAATCGTTAATATTTCTTTCATATTAGAGTTGCAAGTTTTGGCTTTTTTTTTTTTTTTTTTTTTTTTTTTTTCAAAAAAAAATTTTTTTTTTTTTTTTTTTTTTTTTTTTTTTTTTTTTTTTGCAACAAGAATTATTTTATTTTATTTTATTTTCTAAGGAGCTAAGGAAGACCGTCATATCAAATAATAAATAAGACATGATTCATGAATCTTGTTTGCATTACAATAATTATTTCAGAAACTAACTCTGGGCATATGAAGAAAAAGAAAAATAATAAAATATAGATGACGCGGGAAGCGAACCAAAACGGAAGTGGACATCTCACTAGTGACCACCAAACATTAACTCAAAACCTTCTAACAGAATATTAACAAAAATATGTATCTATATATTAACGAAAAAGATAATACAAAATAAAATAAAATTATGTTACATACACAGACTGTAGCGTGTCCTAAACCATATATTATAATTCGCATCACCATATTATAACATTGACATTATAATGCTCTATTAGTTTTGTGAGTTAATTTAATCAAACTCATTTGTAGACTTAAAAAAATGTACAATTGTGCACTCAACTTTATTGGGTTTTCCTTTTCTTTAGTGGTCAAATTTTGCTTTTTTGTTTTTGTTTTTGTTTTTGGTGGTCCATGTCCGTGTGCACTCTTTATCGAAAAAGTATGAAAGCGGCCACAATTAACTTTCATGATATTACAAGTTAATTAATACAAATTAACTAATGAGTTTCCAACGCCTATAAGTCTAACAAACTAATTATGCTTATCAAAAAACAACCAAAAGTGGATAAGAAGAGACTTGGTCACCTTGTTATTCAACTGCCGTGAAAGAAGATCCATATGTCATGTCAATGCTTACATTTACAAGACTGGAGAGTTTAAACTTTAACCTAACAAAGGGAGAAAGAGAAAAATATGTCAATACTTGAGATAAATTAAAATTAATAGGTCAATAATTTATATAAGTTAATAAATAGACTAAATTACTATTTTCGTCTATAATTTATCTGATTATGAACCATAACTTGACAAGTTATTGTCCATAACTTGTCTGGCTGTGAACCATAACTTGATAAATTTATCCATAACTTATCTAATTATTAACCATAACTTAACAAGTTATGACCTATTAATTTTTATAACTAAAAATTAGCCTATATACTTTTCATATTGGCTAATTTTATACTATTTCCCCCTAACAAATTGTAAGAGTGTTAATTGGTTTATCTGGTACAAGCATGTTTATCGGTCTTAATTGGAAAAATTTTTGGTCTTTGGCCTTCTTTGGTAAGAGATACATATGAAAGAAAAGATAAGGGTGGAAATTAGGGAGCTACTAATTTTTGTATTAAGAAAGGTCCTAGACAACCCAACTTTAGTGAGTCAATTTATTATACTTTTATTTTTGCTAACTTAATAATTTTGCCATGCTTTTAATGGGTAAACCTATTGTATTTTCCTGGTAATTATGCAGGAGAAATTTTTTTTAATAAAGTATTAAAAAATACATATTTATATGACACAATTTTTAATCGCGAGTTCTTCATTAAATTCTTTTTAAAGTATAATATTTTATTTAGTTTGTCACGACATTTAAAAACTATATATAGTATTTTAAACTATATATTTGTGATAGGGTATTTTTTTCACATCTAGCTATATAATACTAGTTAATCACAAAAAAAATTTATAAGAAAGAAATTAATTTTTTTTTTTAAAATAGACATGGATGAATGGTATGAATCATATATCCTTCTGCTTTGGCCCACCACCAACAACACAAACAACAACTTTTCCTTCTCTTGCCATCGCTAAAGAGTGAAGAACACCATGCTTATTTATGAATCATATATCTCTTTTCTTTAACCCAAAAAAAAAAAAAAATTTAATACGTCAATATATCGATAGTTTAAATTTTTTATCGTATAAATTTACATAAAAATTAAAAAATATATAAATTTAACAATTAAAAAAACTTAATTGCTAAAAAATCTCCTAAAGAAAAATATGAATCATATCCTTTTTTTTCCACACTCACCGCATAATACATTTATCAGATATTTGTATGATGTCTTGCGTCCATTGTAGGTGGGGCCATTACCAAAAATAAAGAAATAATAAAATAATAATAATAAAAAAATAAAATAACTAACACCATCAATTTCATTCACTTGCTTAGGAATTCGGTGATAGTCATCATAACTACGGTTTAAGCAGCTTAATCAGAGTGAACTTTAAAGATACTCATTTTAAAAGGTAGGACCGGCCGTAGAGTGAAACTCCCTCTGCATCCCTCTCTCTCTCTCTCTTTTCTCCCGGTCTTGGCATGCGAGCTTGAAAAGCAACCCCAAACCGACGACGGTTGAAGCGAAACAAAGAAAAAACCAGTTAAATTATATCCAACCTATATATACACACACATATATATAAAAGCGTCCTCAGATGGGCAACGATCATCGGCAACGAAACGACAGTCTCTCCGGAGGAATCTGATACCCGAAATAACCAAAAACGATTAGCCGTTGAACTGTGATAATTCGATTACATACTGAGAGAATTGAAAATGCTTCAGAATGGTTTCCACGTAGAAGAGAACTCCGGTGGCGGGGCGGTGCTGGTCGGAATAAGGCTGGACGCTCCGAGCAGAGAGCTTCTCACGTGGGCTCTTGTCAAAGTGGCTCAGCCAGGTGACTGTGTGATTGCTCTTCATGTTCTCGGTAAAAATGGTGAGTCAAAATTCTTGAATTTCTCTCTCTTTTTGGATTTTCTATTGTGTTTCGATGACAAAAAATTGACAGATTTTTGTTTCCTAGAAATCTTCGATCGCGATGGGAAGTCGTCGCTTCTTTCCCTTGTCAAAGCGTTCGACTCTGTTCTCGCCGTCTACGAGGGTTTCTGCAACTTGAAACAGGTCAATAGCAAGTCCAAAATTTTCTCGGTCGCCAAACAGAAACTTGGACTTCAATTTCTTCTCACTTTTGGAAAAAAAAAATTTATTGCAGGTGGATCTGAAGCTGAAGATTTGCAGAGGCGCATCAGCGAAGAAAATTCTAGTCCGCGAAGCGGAATCTTACTCTGCAGCTAAGCTAATAGTGGGAACTGCTCATAATCACCACAAAATCCGATCAACCACTTCCGTAGCCAAGTACTGCGCTAAAAAGCTTCCAAAGACTTGTGGGGTTCTCGCTGTGAATAACGGCAAAGTCGTCTTCAACAGAGAAGGCTCGCCGGAAAAAACTGCTGACAAACAACCACAAGGTTCGTTAAAAGAAAAAAAAAACTGTTATTTCAAAACTAAAGCTTTTTTTTTTTTTGCTCTGGGTTTTAAGTTCTTTTTTGTGTTTACGCAGGGGTAGAACAAGATCAGCAGAGCCGAATCGAAACTCTTAAAGGACTAAGCGACGCTAGTTTAAGTGTTGGAAAACAGAGCTGCGAAGTTTGTGAACCGGTGTCTTCTTCATTGTCAAACCAAGTAGAAAAGGACTCTTCTAGAAATGGCGGCGGAGAAGAAGACATGTTAATGGCTTTAGTGCCGGTACAGAAAGCGGAGCCAGCGCCGAGTCCGTCAATCTCCGTTTTGATCAAAGAATTACCTGAGGTGAGACCCGGTTGGCCGCTGCTCCGCCGTGCAGCAGCAGAGCGGAAGTCGCCCGAGAGGACTCTGGTGAGAAAGATCTCTGTGGTGGAATGGGCAATGCAGTTGCCGAGTAGGCCAATTTCATGCGCCTCAGATGCTGATCGCGCACAATTCAGCTCTGAAAATGAAGAATCCTCAAATCTAGACAGCGAAAGTGGCGCAATTGTGGCGGTCGGAGCAGCTGCAGCAGCGGAGGAGGAGACCGAGTCGAAGAGCCTGCCGAGAGAATTGGAGGGTCTACATGAGAAGTACTCGTCAGCTTGTAGGCTCTTCAATTACAAAGAACTCTCGCAAGCAACGTCAAGTTTTTGGCCAGGTTTGTATTAGTTTTTATCTCTACAAATCTTCTCTCTCTCTCTCTCTTTTTTTCCAAAGGAAATATAGTTTGAATTGTGTAAAGAGTTTTTTGCTGTGGGAATTTTCAGAGAATTTGATAGGAAGAGGAGGTAGCAGCGAAGTGTACAGAGGCTCCCTTCCTGACGGCAAAGAACTGGCTGTGAAAATCCTAAAGCCATCTGATGATGTGATCAAAGAATTTGTTCTAGAAATCGAAATCATTACTACTTTACATCACAAGAACATTATTTCGCTTTTGGGATTCTGTTTTGAGGACAACAATCTTCTCTTGGTTTATGATTTCTTATCCAGAGGAAGCCTTGAAGAGAATCTTCATGGTATCTTGCTACAATAGCAATATAAGAGTTCGTTTAGTTTTTTATTCGAGTTTTTAATTTAAGTTGATATATGATTTTATATGAGAGCTTTTTATTATAGTAAAAAAGTTAGATGTAACTGCTTCTGAAAGTCTTTTACTATAACAAAACTCGAATTCTAAACTTGAATTGGTGAAATGAACGAGGCCTAATTTTGTTTCTGGTTCTTTTACTTGTACTAATATAGGAAAGAAGAAGGATTCGCTTGCATTCGGTTGGATTGAGAGATATAAAGTGGCTTTGGGTGTGGCTGAGGCCGTGGATTATCTGCACGGTGGCAATTCTCAACCTGTGATTCACAGGGATGTTAAGTCTTCAAATATACTTTTGTCTGGTGATTTTGAGCCTCAGGTGAATTCATTTTTACTTTTCAGTTTCTCATGTTCGCAGTATAAATTTCCTTTGAATTTGTTTTATATTAATCTTTTTTCTGCTTGGATTTATTTTTTTATTTATTTTTTTGTTTTTTCAGCTCTCTGATTTTGGACTCGCTAAGTGGGCATCAACCACCACATCACACATAACCTGCACGGATGTTGCAGGCACTTTTGGGTATGTCGTGTAACTTTTGCGATATATTCTGAAAAATTTTGACTTCCAACTTTGTGTTGTTTCCTGAACAAAAGGAAAAATTAGCACAAACTGCATTAAAATGCTGCTTTCTTGGGCTGCAGTTACCTGGCTCCTGAATACTTCATGTATGGCAAAGTGAACAACAAGATTGATGTATATGCTTTTGGGGTTGTACTCCTGGAGCTTCTTTCGGGAAGAAAGCCTATAAGCAGCGACTATCCGAAAGGCCAGGAGAGTCTAGTCATGTGGGTATGTGCTCTTATTCTCCTCGGCTTTTAATCTTTTCCAAAATGAAACCCTTTCGGTGTCGTTTGTTTCCCAACTGAAATCAAAATTGTGGGAAAATTTTTGTCCCAGGCTAAGCCAATTCTAAATGAAGGAAAAGTGTCCAAGTTGTTAGATCCTTCCTTGGGTGGTAGTTATGACCAGGACCGGATTGAAAGAATGGTTTTAGCAGCTACTCTTTGCATCAGACGCGCCCCACGAGCTAGGCCTCAAATGAGCCTTGTAAGTCAAGCTTTCTTATTGCCCATAACCACTTATTAAGTTTTTTCTATGGGTCTAGGCTGCATAGTGGCACTGGCACAGGCTAGCAGATTAGTTATTATACCGGATGTGCACCGCAACTTTAAAAAGTCAAAACGTCGCTAAAAGAATTGTAAACGGAACTTAATAAAGATCTGATGGTTTAGGACACTACTCTAGAACTATGAAGTGTCGTTTTTTTCGTTGTGTTCTGTTGTGAATAAGTACATATGAGAAACTAAAAAGTATCTTTTAATGAACTTGTTATGTGATCATGATTTGATCACAGGTTGTGAAACTTCTTCAAGGTGATCCTGAGGTGATTAAGTGGGCAAGGCTACAAATGAATTCCGTGAAGGAGGCCGACATTGTTGACGATGAAGCAGGTTGCCCGCGATCTAATCTGCAGTCGCATCTTAACCTGGCGCTGCTTGATGTGGAGGATGACTCACTCTCAATGAGCAGCATTGAGCAAAGTGTGTCATTAGAGGACTACTTGCAAGGCCGCTGGAGCCGCTCATCAAGCTTTGACTAACTGCGATATTACTAGCAAACAAGATTCAAGTAAAGAACTTGTTGTTTTCTTTGTGTGTGATTCTTTTGTATAGTATTATTATTAGCCTCAAAAAGAATGAAAAAAAAAAATAGAGAGAGAAAAACAAAATACAAAAGAACAAAAGAAAAAGGGCTTTGGATGAGAGGTTGTTTGCGGGTGTTCCCTCCTCCTTCCCTTGCTAGGTCACAAAACCAAGTCCTTATTTGTGGTGTCGTTTTCCCTTTTGTTTCTTGGTATTGGTTTATATATATATTCCCTTGATCCCAACTTGATCAAGAGTGAATAGTACTATTTGGAATGCTAAAAGACGGAATGAGATGTAATTTTGGAAGAGTTTTCTCATAAAATATGAACCAACTAATTATATATATATATATATATATATCTAATCATAAAGGAAGAAGTCTTTATCGTGGCTCCCAACTTGTACCATCATTATGGGCTTCTTTTTCACCTAAAAAACAATTGTTCCCCAAGATTCTTCGTCTTCTTCGCCGCTGCCAATCAATATTCCCTTTTGAATCTCACATGGTGCTATGTTCTAAGCGCTAAGTGATGAATAGTTTTGTCCCACTTTTTAAGTCATCAGGGTCGCCCAATACAGTATAACCACTTACTCTCCTAAGAATATTTCCAAGTCAACCATGAATTCAAGTCCACTAATTCATCCACCACCAAAATCTGCACCGACACCTATTTAGGGGTGAATGAGAGAAATACCATTTTTGGGGGGTCAACATTTGAATATAACAATTGTACAAAAATATTCCATCTTAAGTTACACAAAAATGGTACGGATCAATAACTAGACTTAAGTCCTACTTAACCTAATTTACAGCTCCAGCTTAGACATAAAATTAATTTTTTAATTTAAGTTAAAGAAAAAAATTTTATGGTCAAGATGGGCGACTTCTGCTTAACCTAATGATACTTGTCATGTTTTCAATTAACTCAATCGCCATAGTGGACAACATTTTTTTTTTTTTTTTTTTTTGCTGAATAAAAACTTTATTGAAAAACAGGAAGATCAAACAAGATCTTCAGAAAGCATGGTCACCATAGAGGGGGGTACCTCCCCTAGTGAAACTGGACCAGAGAAGCTAGAAACTCTGGCCCAAGGACACAAGGCATCAGTTGACACATTACATAGTCTAGGAATGAAACAGAAAGATAAAGTGTAGAAAGATAAAGTGTGCGTTTGTAATTCGTCATAAAATGATTTTATTTTTTGTATTAAAATGAAAATGAAAACGTTTTCAATCTCAGACAGAAATTATTTTTAAAAATACGTTTGGTAGTTTTATCAAGAGATTATTTTCAGATTAAAAAAATCCATTAATGTCTCTCTCTACTCGAGAGAGGAAAAAACATAAACAAAAAATGTTTTTCATTTCTCTTCCATTTTACACTAAAATAAAAAATAATTTTCATTTTTGTTTTTTATTTTTAATTGTGTCAAACGTCGTTTCTCTCCCGTCTTCATTTTTTCTTTCTCAAAAAACGTGAAAAATAAAAACAACTCCAAACACAACCAAAGAAACCAACGACCTGGACAAATTTAGGGCTTGTTTAGTGCACTGATTCGAGTTTTTAATTCGAGTTTAGATATGACTTTATGCGGGAGCTTACTGTAGCAAAAAAGTTAGATGTGACTGTTTCTGAGCCTCTTACTGCAGTAAAATTTAAATTCTAAACTCGAATCGGTGAAATGAACGAGGCCTTAAGATATTTTTAAACAAACCATACACCAACTAGTGGGGGGGGGGCGCTTGTCAATCGCCACTTTGCAGTCACTTTGAATGATAACCTCGGACCAACCCTTCTCAACAGCTAACTGGACATCCTCCAAGATTCCCTTAAGCTTTGCTTCCAGCACGAAGTTAACGTGACAATGCTCAACCCAAATATCCAAGACTTCTCCTTGGAAATTTCTCGCCAAAGCTGCAAGGCCTTCTTTATTATCCATGACAGAAGCATCAACTATGGCTATGGAACCTCTAGGGGGAGGTGACCACTTAGCGATTATACCATCCAAAGAAACAACTAAAAGGAGAGTAGCATTTCCACTAAGCATATTAGAATGATTGATAAGACATTGAAAGGCCTATGCAAATAGCTTATGAAGTTAAAGGATCATCACAGAGCTTTCACATCTACCCCCCGAGTAGAGAGAGTCGTTCCTCCATTGCCAAATGCATTCTAGAGTGCAACCCACAAACAACAAAAAGTCTTCGATAAGAGAAGCCAAGACATGAAGTCACGAATATCAGAGCTTTGAATGTTATCAACTCTAAGGGACCACCTGCTTAAGAGCCAGATGCTCCTTGCTATGGCACATTCTTTAAAGAGATGAAGAGCGTTCTCCTCCTCGGCTCCGGACATCAAGCAATACAAGTCAACCACAGAAAACAATCTACCCAATCGAATTCTCCAAATCATCAATTTATGTCGTTCCTGGCACTGCCCATTTCAGACAATTCGCCAAAGCTCCAGTTGCGGGCCAAAACGCGTTCCTTGGTCCACCCAATACGCACCCTTGATAGAGAATTGTCCCGAAGCACTACCCTTCCACATTAATTTATCCACTTAAGGGTATGAGAGGGGCTTGATCTTTAGAATAGTGTATGTCATGGTAGGATCAAAAACTGAATTAATAAGAGGTTTGTTCTAGATTCTAGTTCCTGGGTAGAACAACTCTCCCACTTTATTGTTGAAATTCAACACACAGCTTATTAGATCGAAGGTAGCTCTAGGCGAACCGAAACGCGAAGAAGGAATCCAATGAGCACCCCCCAAACACGCAGCGACATACCATTAGCCACCGCGACACATGCTCTTGTCCGAATCACATCCCTAGCGCTCAAAATTCCCTTACAGACATAGGAATCTCCATTCTTAACCGAGCGAGACCAGAAACCTTCATTCTTGCAGTACTTATGCTTCAAGAGTATTAGAATCCCACATTGGCTGGAGATATTGACATGATCTACTTAACAAGCCGGTTTGCTAGGTTGAGTTAGGCCTAATATCTTTTGATTTCTGTAAAATGGTATCAAAGCAGGCCCACATTTACAATGTTGGGTCCTTCAATATTGACTTATTCGCAGCGGTTTGGCATGGTCCACGCTGTGCATGAGAGGGCGTATTAGAATCCCACATTGGCTGGAGATATTGGTGGCATGATCAACTTAATAAGGTGAGGGCAATCCTGCCCTAACAAGCCGGTTTGCTAGGTTGAGTTAGGCCTAATATCCTTTGATTTCTATTGATACCATGCTAGTTTATCAATTCATCCTAAAAGCTCAAGCTGTTAGGAGGTGGGCCAACAATAGTTTAATAGTTTAACACTCCCCCTCACGTGTGGGCTGGACAATGGGCAATCGTGTGGGTAAATTAATTGGAAAGCCCAACATGTGAATATTTAAGCCTGAAATATATTAAAGACCCAGCACATGATGACAATTTAAATGAGGATAAAAAAGTGCAATTACGGGGGTTTGAACTCATGACCTCCCGTTCTGATACCATGTTAGTTTACCAATCCATCCAAAAAGCTTAAACTATTAAAAGGTGGGCCAACAATAATTTAATACTTTAACAAAGAGGGACACCCACGGAGATTGCTCACTTACCCCAACCTTCCAAGCCAATTTGGCTACAAGCACGGAGTTGAAATCTTGGAACCTTCGGAATCCCAATCCACCATTTCCTTTCGGCTTACAAAGCTGATGAGCGTCACGACTTGGACCAGCAAGAAGTGGAGCACGTGGAGGACTTGGTAGCCCAAGTGTTGTCAACGGTTCAACAATTTTACAATAGAGCCGAATTGTATAATGGGGAAGAATTGTTGGGCCAAGAGGCAACACAAGTCTTTGTGTTATTCAAAATTGAAGAAGATCAGACCCAAGAAATGGGCCCTTGACGTGTGGAATGCATGGAAGGCAAGGGTGAGACCCCCCTGACGTGTGGAATGCATGGAAGGCAAGGGTGGGATACGTGGCTGGAGTTTTTGATTACTTTTCCTTTTTGAATTATGATTTACTTCCCTGTTTTGTAATAAGTTATAAGTTTCCGTTTTACTTAGGTTAAGTTTCCCCTTTTTTTTTAAGATTGTTTCCTATTTCTGAGATTGTTTCCTGATTGTAAGTCCTATGTAAAAGAACCTTTATGCTACAATGAAAGGTAGACCTAATTTACGTAATTTTGGAGTGCTATAGTTTTTTTTTGGACGAGTTTTTGTTCCTTTCTCTTAGTTGATGCGTCATTGAGAGTTTGGGTTTGATTCCTTTGATAGTCCTTCAAACTTCACGTTTGGAGTCTGCTTCCGCTAGCCTGAAAAGGGTATTCGTAGGAGATGATGTTAAGCTAGAAATTCTAGAATATGATGGTAAGTCTTAAGGTGATGGTTTTGTTGATTGACTGCTCACTATTGAACGTCTCTTTGACTTTGGAGACTATTCTGAAGAAAAGAAAGTTAAGCTAGTTGCCATCAAACTTAGAGGTTATGCATATTTATGGTAGGAAAACCTCAAAAGAGAGCGAGAACGAGAAGGAAAAATAAGGATTTGTACTTGGGATAAGATGAAGAAAGAGTTGCGTAAACAGTTTTTACAAGAAACGTACGAAGAAGAATATTACTTGAAGTTTCATGACTTTAAGCAAGGAACCCTGTCGGTGGATGACTATACCAGGGAGTTTGAGTATCTTCGACTCAAAAGTGACACTAGAGAAAAGACTTCTCGCTTGATTGCTCGCTATTTATTAGGTTTGAACAAATCTATCTCCAATGTTATTAGATTACAACCACATTGGAGCTTTGGAGACATGGTTAAGTTGGCTAAAACTGTGGAGGAGCAGCAAAGGGAGGCAAAACTGAGAGTGCCTAATACTACTTACAAGAGACCAAGTTTCTCTAACCAGGGGAGTGGTAGTTCGAGTTCTTCATCAAATAAAACTTCAGTACCACCAGCTAAGACTGAAGAAAAGGGTAGCAAATCTGTGGAGGTCACCAAGAAAAGGTGCTACAAGTGTCAAGGGTTTGGCCATCTTTAAG